TTTCTTCCTCATAAAGTTTCAGCAAAAATAACTTCAGCTGTCTCCAAGAATGAGATTAGGGAAATTTACATTATTTGATCATTTTTTCCAGTGTGTTTGGTCAGGTTTGAGTTGTTGGGGGTTTTTTTAAGCCTAGGAAATTATACACAAAATTGACATTTAAAGAAGCCAAGGTCGAGTTAGGAAACCATACTACTAGAGCTGCTTGCACCCTATTCTTTAATCTACTTATGCAAACAGTTCAGTTACCAGCTCACGGTACAGTTTTTGATAGAGCCCAATGCTTCAACCACCCCAATGATGATTATGTTCGTTGTAAGAACAAGCCAGGGCACTATAATGTAGAAAAATTGGTTTCTACTGGAAATAAACTTAGCCAAAGTTGAATGAATAAGGCAGCAAATGGTAAGAAGAGCAAAGCAGTCCTGGCTGAAGCAGCTGCACACTGCACTGGAGAAGAGGATTCAGCTCTGCTGCTGCCTTGGACTGCTCAGGAGGTACCCAGTAAATCATCAAACCCAAACTTTTCACGAGCAGTTACTGATTTCTCGCATCTCTCCCCCACACCCAACACTGGATGTTGGCAATGTAAGATGCCAAGGCACTCAAAACGTGGAGTTCCCACTGAAACTTGGAGTTTTGGTGGTCGTTGGACTTAATTGTGGATAACTTGCTGTCATTTTGAGTCATCTCACAGTCCCAGATGAACCCAAAACTGGTGGCTCTGCTAGACCTGGACCTCCTTGAGCCTCATTTCTTCACCTGTGAACCAGGACAACACTATTCTCTCTCTTTGCAGGGGAACTGTAAAACTATCATGCAGACCCACCACACTGTATGCATATACAGGCAAGCGGAGGTCAGGGGAGGACTTGAGTCTCACAGCAGTAAGTGCAATAGGAAAACCCAGCAGTAATTATTAATTCCATCTTTAAGCACGGTTTGAATAGAGCTCAACAAACAAAGCACTGAAGAATGAGGGTAAGATAAAATGTTGACGAGCTGCTCCATCATTGTCTGGTCTGTGCTCTAGATACCACAAGGGTGTTTTGGAAAAACCACAATGGAAACACCTAATAAAAGGCTGGAGCTTTAAGGATTTGAATTTTCAAACTTAATCTTTTTTTTTTTTTTAAGATCATTTTAATGTAGTTGTACGCAACTATTCAGAGAGATAGTCACATATAGACATGCATATATAGAGAGGTTATATAGGCACATTATTCTACAAATATACCAACATTTATCTGTGTGTACCTAGACTTTCCTAAAACATAAACAAGCATCTGATACCTAATGCAGCCGTTGATGAGAATTGCTCTCTCTTCTCCATAGAGTACCACCAGTAATTATGTACCATTAGTTCTTAATGGAAAGAGATTCAGCTGGGATGTAGCAAACAAGAAAACTGTATAGATTGTTCAATATAGGCTGGCTGGCTCTCAACTGAGGTAAGAAGTGATTGGATCACACCTCCTGGATATTTCAATCACAGTTTTTATCACTGGGGAAAAGCACTTTATTAACCTGTACTTGGTCAGGTCCCTTCCACGTCCCTATATGCAATGCTGTCAAGATCACAGAAGTGCCCCTTCTAGTTCACATTACTATGCTTCGAACCCTAAACTGCTGTGGGGTTAAATGACTAACAAGACGGAGACCTGAAGGGTTCACTTAGACTAATGACATCTTGAACTCTGCTACCTTCCTACCTGCCATAGATATTTTTTTTTTTGCAACAGAGTAAGGGCTCCCTCTTCCCACAACAGAGACATCCGACTGTGGCAAAAAGATGGTCCTAAAAGGCAATGCTGGTGATTTGCAAGCAAAATTGTTGTGTGTGGAAAAAAAAAGGGGAAAAATCCTCCACGTGGATTACTTCATTACTTTAAAAAAATAAAACAACCCAAGGAAAAGGGTCAAGTTTAAACTGTGGTATTTTTAAAGACATGTGCCCTACCAGGGATACATTTTCTGGCACGTCTCACATCACCACCCCACACCTGTGACTCCTCCACCATCAATAGGAGTTGTGTGCATCAACCCAGGGAGCCAGAACACCGGGCAGACCATATGTGAAAAGCACCATTTTTTTCATTACGGCAGAGAACTGAAGTATGCAGCTAGCACATACTGTAAAGGCATTCAAAATATGACAAAAAAAATTGTTCAAATGCTTTCAATCTGCAGAAAACAAATGCTCTCTTCACTGACTGCTCTGTGGCAAACTTCTAATTCCATCCAGAAAATCCAGCATTCCCAGTCTGGGCTAACGACCATGCTACCAGACATGAGTTTATGTTTTTCATGCACATTTCATGTATTCCCACATGCTGTGTTGCTGCCAATAATTTATGACTGATCTGCACCCAGCCTGCCCTTCAGCATTTTATTTAATCTCTGCAACAGTGATTTACAATGACTCATCATTAATACAAAAATGTACATGTGTGTTAACAAGTTTGGAAGAATCTAAGGAGGAAGGCAAAATTTTTTGCAAGTCGTGCCTGAATGACTTATGAGCCCAGTGAAGAAAGGCAAAGCTAACCAGAAACGCTATGTTAACTCTTCCCTGCAGCAAACAATTTAGGCAAGAAGAGTTTCTTCTCCTGCATACCACCTTAGAAGAAAAGGGATTCAGCACAAGGTTGGGAGAGGGTTGCCCCATACTCCCCAGGATTTGGGAGGGGATGAGTAGCTTGTTGGTCATCCCACGGATGGATGTTACCTGAGGATGCGTGTGTGTGTATGTGCAAACGTGCACACCCTGCCACAGCCTCACAGCCTCCTTGTTCCTTAGGATCCATTGCAAAAAGCAGGGGCTAAATTACCGTATTTTGGCATCTATGCCCACCACCTGTGATTTAAGAAAGCCCTGACTGTCCCTATAGTGTTAAATCTTTGTGGGGCTGGGGAGGGAAGGGGAATTGTCTCAATAATTTATACAATTGTAACACCACGGCAGAATTACCAAACTAGCTCAAGCAGAGGAAGCCTGCCCTACATCCAGAAGACTTCAGTTATAATGTATTTTGACCTACTTTTTTTTTTTTTCCTTTGCACATAAGGAACTTATAAAAACACATCTGAAACAAAGCCAAAGTAAAAACTCCTCAAATCTGAGGCGAGATGGGTACTGAAAAACACCCTGGAAAGTCACTTGGGATAAATTCCACCAGCTTTAGTTCAAAGCATCCCATGTTCATCATCTCAAAAAATTTCTTTGATGGCCCATCCTAAACTGACATAGCTGCCCATGTCGAATCCTACGCTCCCGGACCCCTCCAAAGCAGCACACGCTTGCTCCACCCATCATTAAATAAGACCCCTGACAAACATACACAGGTTCTCAACTGGCCAAAGCGCCTATTGTTAAACTGAAGGACAACCATATAAATTAGGGTATCGCCTGGATGAAGGTTGGAGGATGTAAAGCCGAAGCAAACACTAATTTTTTCTGGCTGAGCCAAAATACTGTGGGTTACATTTCCTTATAACACGTATTTAATGTTTAGTGCCTTTTATTCCTCCATTTTAAACTACGTGAAGCATACTTCACGTACACTAAGTATTTGGTATTTTCCTTTATTCAGTGTCTTAAAGGGCTTCAAAAAATTGATCTCCCAGAGCTGCTGCGGGGTCACAGAAATTGATAACCCTTACAAGCTATGCTTATGTGAGCCCGCCTGTGTCTCCCAGATAGTGCACTTTGTAAATTAATCCTCCAAAGGCAAATATATTGTAAGTAGCTTGTTATCTCTAAAGTACTAAATTGAAGAATACATGGGATTATATTGACAGAAATTACATTTTCTGTAATGGGGTTTAATATATCTGAAATCTCTCCCATAGGCTCCTACTCCCTCTAAGAGAGGAGGGTTTGTTAATGTAGGTGCAATGGACATCAAGACCAAATTTATTCACTAAAATGGATTAGGCCATGTAATCAGAGCTTCAGTAATATTAATCTCTGACACTTATTGAACGGAAAAAAAATACTTTTGTCTGCAAACTGGCATTCCTCCCTCCCTTTTCCCCAGCAGGCTCGCCGTTTGCCTTGGCCATTTTCTGGGTATTACTTCAAAGAGTATAAGGTTTCCCATCATAAACACTAATCTAAAAATATTAGGACAATTAATTAGATACACTTAGTTTTACAAGGTATTAGATTGCAACACACTTCAAATATGACACTTGTTCTGGGATAGTGGGAGAAACCTGCATTTCGATGCAGTAACAAAGGCTAATAAATCAAACTTTTTTTTTAAGGGTTTGCTGTTGTGTTTTTATACTTAAATCACATGTAATTTTCACTGGTTGTCTCCATCACGTCCCAGACAGTTAGCAACCCAAAATCCACTGCAGAAACAGCATGGATCCCAATTTCTTTCAAAAAAATCGCTACTACAACAGATCAGGTACTCCAGCAACCCTGAGCTGGAAGAAATAAATAAAATTGCTCCACACCGTACTTCAGCAGCAAAGAGCCAGATTGTCCTCAAAGTTTATTCAAGCTTTCAAAAACTGGACTTTTAAAACAAACCGGTAAAGTGATAGAAGGATGTCAGTCAAAAAGAAAAACCTCACTAACAACTTTTTAAAAAGCATGACAGCATCCCAAAAGAACAATAAGCTCTGCAGAAGTGGGGCCAACTGCCACTTTTTTCAACCAATATCTCAACCTCTTCCAAGACAAAAGTTCTCAAAATGGATGTGGCTTCCTGTTGAAGAAGACACATTCTCAGCCAGAAGGACGACTGGTACCCAAATGCGAATACACTGAAATCTGCCGAAGCAATGGGAAAATAAACAGAGCTTGTTTTCTGCAGTAGCAAACCTCCTAGTTCCCATAACTGCAACCTCACCTCGTTATATCCCTTTTGCATCAATAAACTGTTGGCAGGGGGGAGCAGACAAGGGCAAGGTGTGTCCTCAAAAATGCAAAGCGTTAGCCGGAGGCTGCCAGCGGCCGTATAGAAACACTAAGGAAAATTACTTACCAATTGTTCACTTGAAGTATAGTGAGCCCTGTGTCTTGTGCCAACTGCTTTTTCTGTTCTTCTGAAGGGTAAGGGTGCTATAAGACACCAAAATAAATATATACATTTAAAACAATGCTTTTTTTGCCTAGTTTTTATTTTAAATTAAAAAAAAAAACAAACAAAAAAAACCCCCAGAAGCGTGACATCTATTATTGAAAGGTGAAAATGCTGAGGTGTGTCACTCTTTTATAATTATTAATGGGCTACTACATCACTTAATTAATGGCAGTAAAAGACAAGCCAATTATAAAGATTAGTGAAGTGGAGAAATAACTGCTTAGGATACTGGCAGTACCTTGATACTCAAGAAGGATATTTGTTGCATTAGCTGAAAGTTTTCGCACTTGTCTCAAATGACCGATTTGAGTCAATTACCTTTTTTTTTCTGTATTTCATAGAACAATAAAGAACGTGATAAAGCACTTCTCTGTAAAATTAAAACACGATGATGTTTTCTGAGATAGTGAAAACAAATCTTGTCCGTGCCCCAAAATAATTTGCAAATAAGAACAGCATCCTGGACATAAACAAACGCCTGGGTTTTGAACACAAGCCAATGCAGGGTCAATGATCAGCACATTTTTGCCTGACATTAACATAGCTGTGCTGCACTAATCCTAAGAGACAGAAAATAAATAATGGTTTAATTGAAGACAATGTTAAAATTCAATCCTAAGTTAAGTTTCTTGTGAGAACTTGATTGCTTTCTCAGAAAATTTGCTTCTGCATGAATACAGATTGCTTAATAAATCTACAGCAAAAACCACATCCAAGTTTGAAAATTAGAAATATCATTTCTGTCCTTTCCCTCCATGTAAAAATGTTACTGTCCCTAAAGGAAATGGCCAAATATTGCAAATGCAACAATTCCCAGGAAAAAACATATTTTGTGGATCCGGCTCCTAACCCGGACACCCAAGTCTCAGTACACACCAGATTCAGACCTGGTCTGCTGCAAGGTACTTAATAACATTTCAATAAAGATAATTTGATATACCTGGTTAGACCTATCCCAACTTCCCATATAGCAGCTGGTTGTCACAAAGTATTTGCTGTTATGCAGACATCTCTTTTTTTTTTTTCCCCCAAAACATTCCCATATTCTTTGGATGTATTCTTTGGCATAATATTATATGAGATGTAAACTGAAACCTTGTAAAGCGTAAGAATTTAAAACCTCGTAAAATTCTGCAATCTTATTGGTACTGTAACTATTTAGCAGATTTTATATATTCTTGTAAACAGCATAATCTGACATCTAATGGCTATGTTACATGCCTGCATCACTTCACTTTACTAAACAGGAATTTTTGTTGTAACTCTGGCAACTTCCCTTTGCCCAGTGTGTCCATTTCAAAGCCCACTGCCATGGCCATTGGCTCCAAAAGATACAGGTTTTTTTCACACAAAAATGGCAGGGAAGTTCCCATTCTTTTAAAAACACTGTTTTCTTGACAGTAATCCCACAGATAACCTGCACAGCTGTAAACTACCCCCTATATTTTCTGCAGGCACATGAAACAGCTCCAGAATGGCAAAGTGGAAGACACAGGGAAGGGAATTTTACTTCTTTTTTATGGGTAATTTGCATTTTACACATGCAAAAATATAGCATGAATTTTATCATCTGCCTTATATACACATTCATCCAAAAAACCAGTCATACTTGACTTATGTCCATCTATCTGAACATAACATTTTGCTTCTCTTCAAAAAAAACCCCTACAGTGATGATTTGTAACATTTTCATCTCTACAGCTTACTTACTATTTCATTACTTTGCTATCAAGCGAGGACAAAATTATTCTTTTTCTTTTCTTATTTCCCTTTGCCACCTTACATGTGATCTAATTTTAAGTAATTGAACAAACTGTGTCTAATTTCATGCAGCAAGCAATAATTACTAGACAGCCTCTAGCTATTGGAATTGAGAACTCTTGTCGCCATTAAGCAATTTTCAATTGTTCTGGACTTTTTTCCAAATAGACAAGACTGGATAAAATTAGCCATCAGAATAATACAGGCACTGTAAAAATAATTGCTTTAAAAGTCCCAAATCCCAAATTCCTCAAATTGTGGTATGTTTAAGGTCGTCTGATTATTTTTTTTTTCATATCTTAGCACAGCATAAACTTTTAATTTCATGATAAATCTATAATTGCCATTATCACATGACAGCCTGGGACTTCATGTAGCTAATCCCTCTTAGCTAAAGGTTCACAATGCAGCAGCCTTTTTAACTATGATTCGGTGTGGTTTAAAATAATCTTAAATGCTGGGCATCCTTATTATATAAGCTTTCTGTGGATCATATGAGTTGTTCCTTTGTAGGCTAAAAAAAAAAAAAAATGACTTGACAAAGAATCAGCATGCCACAGGCTAGGTTGCTATAAAAACATTCAAAGCCTTCTTGCATTCCCACCCACAGGGCTAGGAAGGCCTGTGCTACAGGCAAAGGCAGACATCACATTGCAACAGAGAAACGGGGAAACCCTGAGAACTGCCATTTTATGAGGAAATAGGAAATTCAGTAGAAACTGTTGCTGTTTGTCTTTATTTCACCTGTGCAAGAATGACAGTTGCCTTCCAAAAGCTTTCTAATGTTGTTTAAAGGGATAAAGACACATGCACAGAGATATGTGTGTATATATTTGTGTATATATGTATATTATATTTGCATGTATATGTATAAAATATATATATATAAATATATAAAAAGATATATATATCGTAGTCATATGGTTTAGTTTTAGGTAGTCCTGTGAGGAGCAGGGAGTTGGACTTGATGATTCTTATGGGTCCCTTCCAACTTGAGATATTCTATGCGTCTATGAAATATATAAATATATACATATATAAATATATATGGAAGTGTGTGTCTAAAAACACTGCACGGACTCCAGTTGGCAAGTCCACCTATCACTCTGGATCACTTTGGGATATCAAAGCAAATTGCACCACTGTTCAATAAACAGTGACTTGAGACCTTTACTTTGTTGTGTACATTAGGTCCTACCATTATCTCTTAAAAGCTTAATTATTTGCAAACAATTGATCAAGATGGGAATTGGAGAAAAGAGACGCCGGACCACTGGGAGAGCTGCAATGCATTAGGAGAGCAAACAGAATTACCTTTAGGTCTTATAATCAGAATTAACGATTGGGACCGTATGCAGGGCAGCACGAGAAGCTTTAACGCTCTTGCTGGAGTGTTTTCCATTTGATCTGCATTAACACCTCGAGTGAAAGCCATAAAACCGCGATTACAGATGGGAAGGCTGACCCTCCTTCCCAGAACCAGCTCAGCTTGTGTGTGCTGGAAGACTGCAGACAGGCTTTCTTGCCAAGGCCAGAGGAAAAGGGCAAATCCAAGGGGGAAAAAATATAGGAAGCAGGCAGGTTGAAAAAAAACCCCCGCATTTAAAAGAATAAGGCTGACAACAGATAAGGACTCTGAATCAGGCTCCGGTATTTTCTGATCATGCCTGCTACTGCTACAGCACTACAGAGCAGCATCCACCAAACGGTATGAGACCTAGTGCTTTTCCCTTCCCATAAATCTAGCACTGAAATGCGGATTGTTTGGCACCATTAATGTGTTTTTGAGGCTCTGTGGTATTACTTTTAATAATGACTCAGTACAGAAAGTGATTGCTTAATAACACCATCAAAGTCTGCATGCAAATGAAAATTATCCCTGGGGGATTTGCCCAGGGTAATATGAACAGTTAAAGAACATTGGAAAAGGTAAAAATAACTTGCAAAATATGAGTCAGAGCAGTCATTTTAGCAGTAACAAAGAAATGAAAGTGACAGAGAGAAAAATGTAACTTTCCATCATATTCTCTCATCACTGTTTTATGAATGGTATTTAGAGAGCAGCAGTGTTAATAAAAGCCACCTTTTAATGTAGCCGAGATCATTTTTAGCAAAACAAACAATAAGACTTTTTTTTTTTTACCACCCTTGACTACAGCCGGTGGGTAAAGTCTCCAGTAGATAGAGACGGAAAGTGTCCAAGTTTGTCTCTTAATGATACCCACTGTCCAAATGAACTCCTTTCCTAAAATTTTCCACCCCAGGCTGCAAACGCTGGATGCCAGGACAGCAATAGACTTTATCTTATCTGTAACCCAGTACCAATAACACTCACTCCCTCTCTGCCTCGCTCACCGTAGCAGCGCATCGTAATGGTGGCAGAGAAATATGAAAATAATCCTGCCCAGAGTTTACAGCTGAGATAATGGGAGGCAAACCCACCCCTTCTCACCCCCAGATCACTAATTCCTCGTGGCACCAAACTGCCTCAACACCGACACTGCCAACCAGCCCTATCACGGTACAGAGGCAGAAGCAATCCCCAGGCAAAAGGTTGCACGTTACATTATAAGGATGCTGTGGCAACCGTCCAACGTCGCGCTTATCATGGCAGCGCTGTCGCTTGGCTAACTGCGCCGGGAGAACCATTTCGGAAGTCCTTTTATCCCCTTCCTCCAGCCCTCTGTCTCCTTCAGAGCTCAGCATAATGCACCAAGGCAAGATGACCTTGAGCTAAACTCTGGTAGGTGATGGAGAGAAACTACACCCCCAAAATTTATGTCCTCAGGAATGGCTATTAACTGTTTTCTAACCTCAAAATAAAAAAACCTCAACACTGTGATTTTCTTGTTTCTGAAGAGTAACCCAGCCTACACCTAACACAGTAACCAGAATAAAGCCCAAGGTTGAGCCCTCCAGTGACAAACTGCATATCGGTTTTAAGCCTAACTCTAAATCTTTGCTTTATCCAAACTTGTCCAGGGTTAGCTAAGGCAGTGGTGCAGCTGTTTGGGTCTTTCCCCTTCCCCTACCTCCTCCTGGTTTGCATTTGAACTGTTTACATTACTGATCGAGTTGATCTACGAGAAATTATTATTTTCTTTAAATATCCATAATGCTTTCCTATTGTCTCTCAGCTTTATGAATTAGTTTTACTGTTGCAGTGAATGCTTTTTTTTGTCTCCTGACTGCACATTATCAAAGGGACACTTTGTGC